CCCCCCCCCCCCAGCCGCGACCTCGACCTCGACCATCAATGCCCATGCGCAACATACCAGCTCAACCACCACTCGCTTCCTCTTAAACTTGACTGAAAAGGTGATTGGCGTAGCCATGCCAAGCGTGTGGTGTGCGCCGTGTAGATGAGTGTGACAACAATCGGTCCCGCCACCGGCCACTAGCTGCTGGCCTGGCCACCGGCCACCGGCCACCAGCTTCTGTAGCTGATGATGGTCGACCACGTATCCCACGGCCGGATCAGCAGTATCAGTACTCGCTCCGCCATGTGCCGCAACATCCGCCACCCGCCCACTCTGCTACCGGTACTTTCACCGACAGCATCACGTCTGCCGCCAGGAACCTTGCCCGCCACACCTGGCCATGACTGCCAGCCCAGCGCACAAGGGGGAACCTGAGGAGGCTCCCCCGTCATGCCTACCTCTGTTCTACTTTGAGACTACCCACCCCTGATGGTCCGATGGTCTTCATCGGCTTCCGATCCTCATCCTCACCCTCCTCCATCTCCAAACCCCTGTCCACTGCCTTGCTCACGAGCACCACACGTTCGATCCCCTCGCACCGCTCACTCTCAGACTCCGGCTGAGCACCCCGTCCACTGCCAACGACTCGTTGGAGACTACGTCACTCAACTTGATCACTTGTCCTCCATTGACACATGCTGCAGTCTCTTGGCAGGACACTGGGCAGAGGCGCGCGTCCAGTGGCGTCAGCGTGGCTGACTGGCGGTGTAGCCGGACGCGGCATGGCCGACGCTGTCTCTGGTGGCGGCAACAAGGCCTCGGCGGGCAAGAGCAGCAAGAGCATGACGCACACTCCGTACTACATGCTTGTCGGCTTGAGTCCGAGCGCAAGCGGCGAGGTAGTGCGCAAGGCGGCAGCGGCCGCCGGTGTGCCCGCAGGCGCTGCTGCACCCACACCCGATCAGCTGGCTGCGCTCGAGCCTGATGCTTTGCACGTGCTACAGACGCTACGCTTGCTGACCGACCCGGTGGTCCGCTCGCGGTACGATGCCGCGCTTGAAGCCAAGCGCGCAGCCTCGTTTGTGGCCTCGGATTGGGATGCTGGGCTTATCACCCGCGGATCGTCAACTGCGCTCATCGAGCCGGCTCCACTGCGGACCCTCGCCCAGCACCGTAACATCGTCGGCTGGGGTGCAGCATTGGCGCTGGTTGGCGGCGCTGGCGTGCTGGCTGCGGCGTCATGGGACGAGCCTGAAGAGTCGCACAAGAGCTTTACGCCGGATGGCGACGAGCCGCTGTTCACCGCCAACGTGGCGCGCCGGCGGTTCATCGCCGGCCTGGTCGGCGCCACTTCGGGTGGCCTGCTCTCGCTCATTGCGCCGTCTGCCGGACGGTCGATCACGCTCGTTGCTACCTCAGCCATCATGTTCCGCTGCTTTGTCACCCCCTTTGTCGCTGCGCCAGGCATCGAGGCCTGGTCAGGATGGCCGGGCGTCTACGCCAACCGCGAGGCTGTGGCCGTGGCCGGCGGCATGGCGCTGGGTGCGCTTGCCGGCTTCCGCCGCGCGGCGCTCCTTCGCTCGGCACTCCGCGCTGCAGGCGCGTGGCTTATGCCATCACCGGGCGTTTCCACCGCCGCCGGTGCACTCATCGGCATGGTTGCCGGCAAGATGGTGAGCCCACTGCTGGGCGATGAGTTCATTTCCGTCAACTTTGCCGCCCCGCCGCCAGCCCCGCCTACTCTAGGCGATGAAGCCTAAGCGGCTTGGCCGCTGGTAGCGCACAGACTCGCCGCTGCGACACCCGCTGCGCCCTGCTGCGTGGGACTGTGGTGCACAGTGCCGCCGTCAGGTCACGGAACGCGTCGTTGAGCGACTTGCCCCGCCGCTTCGGCCGGTCTGGCAACGGCGACTTTGCTCGCCGCTTGCGCGAGCCATGCCGCACCTCGAGCACCTCGACTACCATGTCCACCATCTCTTTGCTCTCGTGCTGCCCGCACCCACCGGATGCTGCCGCGCCACTGGCTGGTGGCGTCTGCGACAACCGCAGCACCGGGCCCAGGTCATGCTCGAAAAAAGGTCGTGAAACAGGCGGGGACGGACAGGGTGCTGCTGGTGGGCGCGATGGCAGGCGACGTGTCGGCACCGGGCGCGACGACTTGTGTGTCGAGTGCAGGGAGTGGTGAGGCATGTTAAAGCTCGCTCCTCTACGCGCGCACTCACGTTGACGCCGAGTCGAGTGAAAGCGACGACGACGATGACGGCGATGGTGACGAGTCGTCATGGATGACAGGGATTTGTCGGCCGGGACTCGCCGTTCGCGGCTCGACTTGTGCCGTACCGTCGTCGTGCTGCAGAGCGGCAGGCTGGGGAGGCGGGTGCGCCGAATGGGTCTCATTGGAGAACTCGTTCAGCCGCGGCGAGTCGAGCGGCGCCACCGAGGCGCCGGTTAGCGCTGCCGCATACGAGCCATCAGACAGGCCACTTTGGGTTGGGTGCGGCTGGTCTCCCGACTCGACTGCGGTCGCTGTGGCAGCGGCATTCGGGGCGGCGGCGGCCGGCACGGCAGCGTGCCGCGGACCATCGTCGCGGCGCATCGTTGGCTGCGTGTACAGCTCGTATCCGGACCGCGATGCATGGGAGCTCTCATCAGCTTGGAACGTACCATGCATGCCAGCTTCAGGGGCTGGCCGGGCCTTTGGCTGGCTAGGCCCACCGGTTGGCTTGCTAGTCTCGTTGGGCGCGAGTGCAGAGGACGACATCGCATTCGGAAGGAGCGATAAAGGCAGCACCCGGCTGGGCCGCCCACGCTTGGAGGTCGGGTTCCCGTCACGGTCGGCCATAAACGCGCGCTCGCGCTCACGCTGCTCGGCCAACTCGGCCACCATGGCGTCGTTTGCACCACGCAAGTGGCGCAAGCGGATAAATATAAACATGTAGTAGCCAAAGGCGACGAGTGTGACGCAAAAGACAATGATGTGAAGGGCAGCAACGTCGAGATGGAAGAGGATGAGCAGGGCGAGGAGCGAGGCGTAGGCAATGGCCTCGAGCATGTTGCACGACAACCAGTGGTACGGCCATTGGCGGACATGGAGACAGAGGAAAACGACGACCACAAGCGCAATGAAACAGCAGGCAGGGTGTCTCGGCCCGAGTCGACGTCGTACGGGATCTGGTAAGCAATGACCGGTGCTACCAGCACGATGGCGATCTTGCGGGCGACAATGACCAGCGCCGTGTAGTATGCTCCGTCGCGGAACGAGAAGATGAGCGAGGAGTAGCGGTAGAGGATGGACGGCGACCGCTCGCGATACATGCGGTTGATGATGTAGTAGAGGAAAGTCGGAACAGTGGTCGCGTAGAGAGTCAGGAAGATGGCAGCAAACGGGACAACAACCGTCCACCGCGAGTTGTCGACCCAGCAGCGGATGTCCGGCCGCGACACCATCGACCAGTGCGACGAGTCGTTTGGCTGCTGGAAGCACATAAAGTATCGTGTCAGGTGGCCAAGCACCGCCACAAGCATGAACCGCGAGAGGTAAAGAAATATCGAGGTGAGAAAGTTGCGCCCGATGACCGACCGGGTGATGTGGAAGAGGAGTGCGGCGACGAGGCCAACGAGGACCGGCGCGATTGCCACTATGATGCCAACGACCTCAAAGCCGACCGCGCCAAATATGCAGTCGAGCCGGAGGAGCTCGATGTTGAGCTGCAGCGTCGACGCCGCATAGAGAAGAATCAGAAACGGCGACGACCAGCCGCGGAGCGACTGCAGAATCGATGCCACCTGGAGAAACTCGATGAGGATGGAGAGGAGCGCAAAGGCCTCACGGAGCTTGCGCTGGTTGGTGTTGAACACCACAATGGCGTTGGGGTATCTGGTGTAGACTGTGGTCACAGCCACGATGACAGACACCACGATGAGCACCGCAAAGGCCAGTGGGAGCCACGGAACCGGTCCACAGTCGAGACACTCGTCGTGCGACGCGTAGTGCCCACTTGCACACTCGCCACAGAGTATGCCACCATACGACGGCGCGCACAATCCCGCTTCTCCGCCTGGGCACGCATGAGCGGTTCGGCACAGCATGACAAAGGTCGGCCGTGCGGGATCAATCCAGTAGCCCGGCAAAGCCCGCGGCTGACTCTCGACGCCGTGCGCGTTGTAACCGCCGCTGCAGATTGCGCCAATCGGACACGGGAGGCAAGGCGCATATTGGGCCTTGTTCACAATGTCAACATGCTCGTATGCCGGGGAGGTGGGCGACACGGTTCCGTTGGTCACCTTCTCAAGTGCCGGCAGCAACCGTGTGAGGTCGCGGTACCAGCCCGGCGCACAGGTGCAGAGTGCTGAAGACGTTGCACCGCGAACAAGCGTGTCCTCGTTGACCGGGCACTGGGAACAGGTGCTAGAGCCGCGCCCTGTGGTGTACGTCCCGGATGGGCAGCGGATGCAGACGCTCGCGTTGGTTGCAGCATACATGCCGGCCTCGCACATGGCACAGCTTGCGGCGCCGCGGCCCGAAGACGAGCCGGGTGGACAGGGCAGACAGAGCCGCGAGCCAAGCGGTGCGTACGTGGTCGACGGGCATGCGTCGCACGTCCGCGACGCCGGGTTAAACACCCTCCCGATCGGGCACGAGCCGCAGACCAGGCTGACAGCCGTGTCGACCACCACGGCATCGTCCCAAGAATGGCTTGGTTGCATCTTAGCCTCCAGCCAGAGCGTCCGCATCGGCATGCTCGCCGAGGTGCAGTCGACTGGCTCGGCCTCGACCGCAACATAGGCCACTGCGCGGGGCGAGGAGGCGGGCGGCCAATCCGCGGTGAGCATGCCCGCCCACGACACCGGCGAGCCGAGTGGAAGCTCGTCGTACAGTTGCAAGTCGGCGCCAAGGTCGATGCTGGTGTACGCACCAGGCAGCGGATACGGGAGGAACATGCCACCAACCAGCGATGAGCTGGCAAAATCAATGTCGTCGATGCGGCGGAGCCGGACGGAGCTGAGCAGTGCCGGCGCGCCGACGCCAGCGGGCGGCGCGAGGCGAATCGTCACATTGCTGGCCACCGAGTCGGGTACGACGATGGAGAGTTCGACAATGGTGAGCGAGTCAGCCAGAACATTGGATGCGTTGACCGAGACATACGAAGCTATCAGCGCGTCGGGCAGCAGCGACCGTAATTCCACCGTTGGCGTGTCTGCCACTTGTGGAACGTGGACAGTGAACGGGTAGGGTCCCACCAGCCGCGGCTGGTTGCACGAGATGGAAATGCAATCGGTGAACGAGACCGAAAAGGTGTCAATGCCAAAGTAGTCGCCGTCGGGCTGGTAGAAGAGTTGCGCGGGATAGTCGAATATGACGCCGTTGCGCGGCTCGACTTCACCGACGAGCTTGATGGCCTCAAACCCACCCCAACTACGGGTCCCGACAGTTGTGTCGAACCGGAGCGTGATCGTGTCGACAGGGTAGCGGAGGCCACACACATCGGTTGCCTGCCACACAAAGTACTTGGCCGGAAGGTCAGTGAGCCCTTTCCCGCGCCAGACTGTGGACGGCGGCGTCTCGGGATGGAGAGACGAGGAGATCTCAAGCGCAGTAGCAGTCCCACCGGCGTTGCACTCGTGGATCTCGATGCTCTGGATGTAGACAGGCGTGGCAAATCGGACAGTGATGTACTCGGGCCCATTGTTGGGGAGCTGAGACGAGTAACAGCTGACAGGGAAGCCGTAGATCGAGGACTGAGGCGGACCAATGATGGCGCGTGAGCCCCATATGTCAACGTCGTACTCTGACGAGAAGGCGACAACCGAGTCGACCCACTGTTCGACCGGTTCGCCAAGCTTCCACGACTGATACGGCTCGTTGTAGACAGTGCCAGGCGCTGGTGCCGCACCGGGCGGCGCTGGTGCCACGCTGTACAGCGTACCATGTTGCGGAAGGGCAGAAATGACCACCATGTACACCTCCGAGTCGACGTCAACGACGGCAAGATCGATGAGCGTCGGATCCGAGTCCTCCATGACGGTTGCGGCTGGCGGCGTCATGAACTTGGGCGCATCGTCGACTTCAACGACATCAAAGACATATGTGAAGAGCGAGGTGGCAAAGCCAGACGAGGCCAGGAACTGCACTTCAAAGCTTGCAAAGCTTGTGCCAAATGCGTCGGGAGGCGGTGCAAAGTGGGCAACGAGTGCATGGACGTCAAGGCGACCAAGGGCCGAAGCAGCAACAAGTGGGCCTCGGAGCGTGGTAGGCTCCGGAATGAGGATCGAGCCATTGGTCGGCAGGGCAGTGACGACGACCTGGAGGTCGTAGACGGCAGAAGCCCACTGGCTCAAGTCGTCGTTGAGTGAGAACAGAGTGGTGGTGTCCTCCAACACAGTCACTACTCGGGAAGTGGCTGTCGTTTGCGGCGGAAGCTCGGTTCGAAAGTGGACGGTACAGACGCACTGCGCAGCGGCCGGTCGTGCGTAGGAGAAACTCCACTCGGGTGGGTGGGTAAGGTTTGTGGCCGGGCCGAGCGCCGAGCCGACAATCGGGAGCATAAACGGAGTCGACACCGTATTAAGCGCCATCGCACCGCCCGAATGCGCTAGCGAGATCGACGCCGGCAGCGACTGTGGGCCCGAGGTTAGTGAGCTCCCTGCGGTGGCGTCGATGGCCTGGTAGTCGATGCCAAGCGAGGCACGCTGGGCCGCGTGCGACGTTGTGGCAGTCGAGTACGCTTCCGAGCCGGGGAGCAGGTCGAGGGATAGCGGCGCAGTGCCGGTCGACGATGCCGCAACGCTGACAACGAGCGGACCGCCAAGCCGAAGCGGAATGCCAGACGGCACCAGAACCGGCCACGCACTGGCATCCGTCGAATTGAAGGCCAGCGAGGCACCGGTGATGCGGTCGGTGACAGCATTGGCGTGGGGTCCATCTTCCATATCAAAGTACAGCGCTAGGGTCGGGTCGGGGGTGCCGAGATCGACTGGCGCGAGTGTTGCAGCGAGCATGGCTGACTTCTCCATATGTGCGACCGAGTACACGCGCAACTCGTCGATGGAGCCGCGGAGAGCTTGCGACGGGTCAAAGCCGCCACCGACAACGTCTTGGTCTTGGCCCAACACCATCGAGCCGGAGCTCGGAAGGGTGGCGTTGACGGAGGCCTCAATGAGTTCGTCGACCACGAGCGAGCCGTCGGCCCACACACGAATAAGCCCATCGGAGGAGCGCCACGCAACCACGAAGTGAGTCCACTTGGCCCATGACGTCGACCATGTGGCGTTGGGCGCACTGCGGACGCCGTGGTGATCAAAGGCGCTCGTCGAGCTGCTGAGCAGCGAGGTGAACGGGTAGGAGAACCATAGCGAGTTGTCGCTCTGGGTCGTGGCGTACGACAAGATGGTGAAGGCCTGACTCGTGCTCTCGCCATCGATCGACCGAATCCACGTAGAGACAGTAAGCTCGGTTGACGGAAAGCCCGAGACAATGCCGTATGCGTACGCCTTCCGCTGTGGACCAAAGTCGAGGGCGTAGCCGGAGCCGCAGCACCCATCAGACGCGGAAGCGCACGCCACCAACAGAACAAGGAGCGCAGCCAAGGCCACGCCCCATACATGGACCGTCCAAACCTTCATGGTCATTGCTTTTAGGGGCAATGTCGACAACAGGAGGAGTGGTGCGATGCTCAGCAGGCTTTGGCTTTGGCTGACTCGGTTCAAAGCATAGCTTGTGGAAACGTTTGCCGTTTGCGGGCGAGTGAGCGCCATCAATGGAGGGAAGGGGGAGGGTGTGGGGAGGGTGTTGCTGTTAAATTTTTTGTGCC